AAAAAAAAAAAGAATCCTCTGTCACATTAGTACACAAAATGTTACTGAAACTCTTTAGCTTCTGGCGCCTCTTATCTTTTCCTTTCCAGTCCACCACACCTTAAAGGAGTTTGTCCTCTTTTGTGGTGTTTGATTTCTGTGCAGTTGAATCCTGATCCCTCTTTTTCTCCTGGAACTAATTTTAATTGGAATTCTCTTGGATCTTAAAATTGTCATCGGCGATAATACCCAGGCGCTCTGAACAGAGAGCCCACTATGTGCCAAAGCATGCCTGTGCTACCTGAGATAACCACCACAACAATCCCATTAGGTTTCTCCACTTTTCAACTGAAGTAGTCTTAGAAAGTCCTGAGGCTGTTAACTACTGGGCTATGATTAAAAATACTTTTAGGTATATTGAAAAGGAGTACTAGTTGTTAAGTGTTACACAGCTTTGTATATTTTTAAGAGTTGCTAAATCAAAAGCAGTAGTGTAAGTCTGAGAAATAGCAAGGACAAGGTAAGAGATCTCTGATTTTATAAACAATTTGGGAAAACAAAAGTGAAACGTTGATAATCACATAAATTAATAATGTAGCCTCCAGCCCCCGGTGGAGGACCACCAGAAATCAGTGAGTTATAGGAAACACACTCTTTATTCAGCCAGCTGGGTCTGCCAGGGGTACGCAGACCCCAAATCAAGCAGCCCTGAAATGCAGAGGTAAGGGTTTTTAAGCCCACTCCTATTCTTCATCCTGTTTGAACACAAGTCTATTTTTCTTTTTACTGTCAACCCACAGGTCGGTTGTGCAAGCGAGGGGTACAGAAGCAGAAAGCTTATTGTTAGAGCGTTATGTTCCCATGGGCGATAGCCGAACAGTAATTTTCCGGCCAGCACAATAACATATAGAGCAGTGAGCTAGTTCTTTTTATTAGAGAACAGACAGGACTCAAGATTAAATATTATGGAGAACTGAATGACTTAAACTGCCTGCCAGGTTATGTGACAAAGCAGCTAATTGAGTTTGAATATAAAAAAAAAAAATGGCCAGTAGGCAGTTACCTCATTATAGGTGAGAAGTGCATTTGAGGTATCTCAAGCTTAGATTTACTTGTAAAGTAAATAGGTATACTGCCCACCAACTGGATGTGGACAGTTCAATGGGTTGGTTTGTTTGTTTTGTTTTGTTTAAATTAGGTGCCTCTCAGACTTTTATTCATGTTTACTACTAAACCCCTGAGTTCTGTTTTTCATAAGGTGAGAAACTCTTGGTAGAGTTTCACTGATTCATTTCAGCAGGTGTCTTTAAGAAAAAATTCTCTGTGTCTTCTTTAAAATTGCTTTATATGTGAACATTAGTGTATTTTAATAGCTAAGGTTTCCTATTAAGTGTCTATTAAATGAAATCTAAATTATAAAGATGTCTGTTTTCATATCATTGACTGTTAAGGAGACTGATATTTGTAAATAGTCATTTAGAAATTAGAAACTGATTCTGAATCTCCATGTTTTATTTTGTAGGACCAGCATTAACAGTCCAAGGGCCAGCTATATTTACAGAACCAGCAAATGATTCTAATGGAAGTAAGGAGACGTCCAGCCTTTTGGATAGTATCTTTTGGATGGCAGCTCCCAAAAACAGACGCAGCATTGAAGTTAACCGGTGTAGGAGAAGAAATCCTCAGAAGCTTATTAAAGTTAAGGTAACATGTTGATTTTTGTGGGTGTGTTTTTCTCATGACTACCACATGGTATGTTCATGTAACCTATGGGTAAATTATTCTCAGATCTTACTTTCTGTTTACTTTCTTTTGGTCTAAATAAAATATAATATTCTCAGTATGTATGTATGAATGTATGTATGTATGTCTACTGTCCTGTATCCCAAATAGTAGGAACACAGTCAAGTATGAACTTTGGTGTCTGCACAGAGGACTGGGTTGTGAAGAGCCTATATGACTTTAATTGTGAGCTGTGCCAGTCCTGTGCTGTGTGATTTTAAACCATATATGGGTAAAGTCTTAATTGTGGCAGAACCTAAAATTAAAGTTAGAAGCAGTAGGTACATTGGATCTTGGGTTTTACTGGCATTTACATATTTACTTTATTCTTCACTGTGAAGGAAAATTCTTAGATAAAAATAGCTAACATCTATTAAGTGCCTATGATGTATCTAAGTACTTTATGTGAATTACCTCATCAAAACCTCACAATAGCCCTCCAAAGGAAACATTGCTTTGCTCAGTTTTAGGATGAAGAAACTGAGGCAAAAAGAATTTGCCTGTGGTCACAAACTGTTAAATGGTAGAGCCAGGATTTGAGCTCTGGCAGTCTAATTCTTGAGCTCAAATTTTTCCCTTGAAACTCTTTTTGTATGTTCTTATCCTTAGACAATTCCATATATCCGCTCTCTGCATTGGATATATGGATACACTCTCTTCATTGATCTAGTAAGAAAAAGTATAGTGTTTATTGCCTTTGATCTTTTAATTTATAGCTTTAACAGCTGTGATTTGAACTACTGTTTACTCCATAGCATTCCACAGTAGCAGTGCAGTGCCCATGAAACTCCAGAAAAGAGAACTTACTTTGATAAGCTTCTACCTTCGGTATTTAACCAAATCCTGAGCTTAAACCAAGAAGTATTGTCATAGTTGGGACCAGACTTAGTATCTGGACTTGAAAAATACTTCATTAATTGAAACAACAGTAATTCATACAGTTAGATGAGATAATTTAAGGTGTTAGGAATGATCTTGTACAGGTCTATTATATGATCTCCTTGAGTGCGTTGATTCTGAGGGAAAAGAATAGCTCTTATCCTGTGCATTCATTTTCTTTATTGAGTTTTCTGCTACGTATAGTATATTATGTTGGGTGCTTTGTCAGGAAAAGAGTACCCACTGACTATGGATATCTTTTCTATTCCTCCACTTGGGCATGCAACCCAGTTTCCATTGTAGCAGAGTAAAATGAAAAATTGGTAAAGCAAGTAATTTGCAAGGTTCTTTATTCTTTTCGGACAATGAAATTGTTTTTCTCGTTTGCTTCACAAATGTATGTATATTAATCTTATGAAGTATTTCAATTTCTTTTATGCTACTGTTTACCGAAGGCAGGGGTTATTATAGGGAAAGGGCCGAATAAGAGGTGGGGAAATTTTAAGACTGCAGAGAGAAGGTTGAGTAACGGGCAAAGTTGAAATTCCAAGGCTGCATCTGGAAGGGAAGGGAGAAGGTCTCCTGGCCTTGGTTTGTTTCTCATGCTACCTGGTCAAATGAAAGTTTGGGCAGGATTTTGCTATCAGTCTTCTGGCTCCAAACAATCTGGGAACCAAATAGCTTCCTTTGATGTCTCTTCCTAGGGTTCTCAATCAAGCAAACTGTTATACATTAGTTAAGGCATTTTTATGTACATAAAATATGGGAGTGAGATTTTTAAGGAGAAAAAGGAAAAAGAAAAAAATGATTACAATCATAAGACTACAGTAAAACCACAACAATCACTGTTACATGTGGGTTTATTTTTGGACTCTCAGTTCTGTTCCATTGGTCTATGTGTCTGTTTTTCTGTCAGTAACATACTGTTTTGATATTGTAGCTTTGTAGTATAATTTGAAGTCAGGCAGTGTGATACCTTGAGCTTTTTTCTTTCCCTTTTATATTGCTTTGGCTGTTTGGGCCCTTTTGTGGTTCATACAAATTTGATGGTATTTTGTTCTATTTCTTTGAAAAATGCCACTGTGATTTTAATGGAGGTTGTGTTAAATCTGTATGTTGCTTTGGGTAATACGGCATTTTAACTCTGTCGCTTCTTCCAGTCCATTAACATAGAATAACCTTCCATTTCTTTCTTTCTTCTTCAATTTTTTTTAAAACAATGTCTTGTAATTTTCAGTATATAGGTCCTTCACATGTTTCATTAAGTTTATTTCTAGGTATTTTTTGTGTGTGTTGAAATTAAAAATGCAATTTTTTTTCCATTTTTTTTTTTTCTGAAATTTCATTGTTAGTATTAGAGGTACAGTGGATTTTTGTACATTGAGTTTGTATCCTGCAATTTAATTGCATTTGTTTATTGTTTCTAATAGTTTTTTAGTGGCATTTTTAGGGTTTCCTTTATAAAAAATAATGTCATCTGCAAAAAGTTAAAATTTTATTTCTTCATTCCCAATTTGGATGCCTTTTAATTCTTGCCTTATTGCTCTTGCTAAGACTTCCAGTACTGTGTTGAATAACAGTGGTGCCAGTGGGCACACTTGTTTCTGATCTTAGAGGAAAAGCTCGGGTTTTCACCATCAAATATGACATTAGTTGAGGATTTGTCATATAGTGTGTCTGATTATGTTGAGAACTTTTTTCTATATCCATTTTATTGAGTGTTTTAATCATAAATGGATGTTGTATCTTGTCAAATATTTTCTCTGCATCTATTGATGTGATCATATGATTTTTATCCTTTATTTTGTTAATGTGGTATATCACATTGATCTATTTGTATATGTCGAACCATCCTTGTGCCCCTTGAATGAACCCCACTTGATCGTGACATAATCTTTTTAATGTATTCAATTTGCTAGTATTTTGTTTAGGATTTTTGCATCTGCATTCATCAGAGTTATTGGTCTGTAATTTTCTTTTTTGTGTGTTATTCTTGCTGGGTTTCAATATAAAAATAATGTTGGCTTCATAAAATAAATTAGGAAGTATTGCCTCTTCTTCAGTTTTTTGAAAGAGTTTGAAAAGGAGAGGTATTAAATCATCTTTGAATATTTGGTAGAATTCATTAGTGAAGCCACCTGGTCCTGGACTGTTAGGTTTTTGATGATTGTTTCACTTTCTTTACTGTTGATCGTCTATTTAGGTTTTCCAGTTCTTCACGAGTCAGTCTAGGAAGGTTATATATTTCTAGGAACTGTTACTGTATAGTCTATACTATTCTCGTATAGTCGTTTGTGTTTCTATGGCGTCCTTTGTAACTTCAGCTCTTTTATTCCTGATGTTTATTTGAGCCTTTTCTTTTTTTTTCCCCTTAGTCTAGTCAGAGGTTTGTCAATTTTATTAATCTTTTCAAAGATCTTTGTTGCATTAATTTTTTTCTGTTGTCTTTTTCTCTATTTTGTTTTCATTCTGCTAATTTTTATCATTTCCTCCTTTCTACTGACTAGGTTTTATTTGTTCTTTTTCTAGTTCTTTTAGGTGAAATGTTAGGTCTTTTGTTTTAGATTTTTCTTGTTTCTCAAAGCAGGACTGTAATGCTGTACACTTCCCTCTTGTCACCACTTTTGTTGCATCACCCAAATTTTGATGTCATATTGTCTTTCTCATTTATCTCTGTATATCTTTTGATCTCTCCATTTATTTCTCCTTTGACCCAGTCATTCTTTAGTAGCATGTTGTTTAATCTCCACATATTTGTGATTTTTTTCCACTTTCTTTTTGCAGTTGATTTGTAATTTCAAAGCATTGTGGTCAGAGATGATGCTTGGCATAATTTCAATCTTAAATTTGTTGAGGCTAGTTTTATGTCCCAATATATGCTCTATTCTTGAGAATGTTCCATATGCACTAGAGAAGAATGTATAATTTGGTGTTCTGGGATGAAAAGCTCTGTAAATATCGATTATGTCCATTTGGTCTAATGTGTCATTTAAAGCTGATATTTCCCTGTTTTTCTGTTTAGATGATCTATCCCTAACTGTCAGTGGGTTATTTTAGTTCCCTATTATAAGTGTTTTTGTGGGTTTCTCTCTTTCGTTAAGTAGTAGTTGCTTTATATATTTTGATGTTCCCTGATTGGGTACATATATATTGATAAGTGTTATGTGTTCTTGATTTTATGTCTTCTTTCTCTTTATGAAATGTCCATATTTATTTCTTGTTACCTTTTTTATCTTGAAATCTATTTTATCTGATACAAGTATGGCTATATTCACTTTTCTCTGGATGTCATTTGGTTGGAGTATCATTTTCCAACCCTTCACTTTGAATCTGTAGTCGTCTTTGCTGCTGAGATGTGTCTCCTGAAAGTAGCATATGGTTGGATTTTATTTTTTAATCCATCCTACTACTCTGCACTTTTCAATTGATGATTTCAGCCCATATACATTTAAGGCGATTATTGATGTATGAGGATTTCTTGTAGCCATTTTATCTTTTGTTTTCTGATACTTCTGTGTCTCCATTTTTTCTTTTCCATTTTGTTTGTGTCTTAGCTTGGTGGTATTCTATTTCCCCCCCACCTCTATTTCCTCTTTTTTATGTTATGTGTCTCAGTTCTAGAGCTGTGTGTGGTTATCATTAGATTTATGTAAAAGTTTTATATGTGTAATAATCTTTTTTCTTTACATCTTATCTCCATTTACCTGTACAAGCTTTACCCCCTACCCATTTATGTTTTGTTGTCACAAATTACCCTTTTTGTACTGTGTATGCATTTTCAAATTGTAGTAGCTATTGTCTTTTTTTAAAAAAAAGTTTGTAACTTCTTTAATCTTTATGTTATATTTAAATGTTTAATACACTATTCTGGACAAGAGTTGCAATTTCCTGCTTCTGTCTGTTAGTCATCTTATAGTTAGATATCCTTTTGTCTTTATGTCTTGTGGTCATAAAGTCCCTCACCTTCTGTATATCTGGAAAAGCTTTTATTTCTCTTTCATATCTAAAGGATAACTTGACTGGTGATTTCTCTTTCAATATTTTGAATGTGATTTCACTCTCTCCTCCTGGATTGCAGGGTTTCTGCTAAAAAAATCCAATGATAATCTAATGGGGTTTCCTTTATAATTACCATCTTTTTCCTGACTGCCTTGAGAATTCTTTCATTGTCATTAATTTCTGTCAGCTTTAATATAATGTACCTTGGATGAAGTCTTTTTGGATTGAGATAATTAGGTATCTGTTAGCTTCTTGGATTTGAAGATCCAATTTTTTCAATAGGCTTGGGAAGTTCTGAACGATTGATTATTTGTTTGAATAGACTCTCTCTTCCCTCCTTCCTCTCTTCTCCTTTTGTTACACCCATTATTTTCTTATATTGCTCTTTCTAATGGAGTCAGATAGTTTTCCATAGAATTCTTTTATTTTTTTTCTCAATTCTCTTTTCGCAGCTGAGTCATTTCTAGATTTCTGTCTTCAGTATCACTAATTCTTTCCTCTATGCTCGCTAGTTCATTCTTAATCTCACTGAGTTCTTCAGCTCCAGAATTACATTTGGTTCTTTTTTATAGTTTGTCTTTGTAAAGTACTCCTTTTGTTTGTAGATTTTATTTCTGTGTTAATTAAACTACCGTCATGAGTTTTCTTGTATCTCGTTGAGTTTTTTCAGCTATGCAATCTTGAATTCTCTGTCATTTAAATTACATATTTCCATGTCTTTAAGTTTATTTTCTGGAGATTTTTAATTTTTTTCCAAGCTACCTCATTACCTTGGTTATTTGTGGTAATTGATGGATTATTTCTCTTCCTTGGCATTTGTGGAAATGAAATGTTTTTTTTTTTTTTAAGTTTTTGACACTTTACTCTTTAGTAGGTTGATAAGTAGAGGTCCAACTCTTTTGTTTTTCAGTAGGTAGCTCTGAAATGCAAGTCTTTATTTTCTCTTACTTGCACTGCTGGGGCTTCTGGGATCCCGCTGGGGCAGTTTTGCCTCTTCCATAGACTATGCCCTGTATTCTTGGGAGATGTGGGTTTCCTCTCTCTGCCTAGGTTACCTCAGTCTCAGGGCACCATCTCCATGGGGGAATATGGTGGGTTTGGGGGCTTCAGGCCTGTAAGATTCCTGTGCCATCTCCTGTAACTAGATACTGCCAGCAGTGTTGTGCTATCTCAAGTGTCCCTGATGCCTCAACCAGTATCCACTGCATTGGATAGGGGCCAAACGTGGTGAGGCGCAGTGGCAGGCCCAGCGTCTGTGGGAACGCTGCTCCGCCATGAGCTCCCCAGTCAAGGTGCCCCTCAAAGTCCAGGAGGCAGATGAAGCCAAACTCCGATAAACAGAAGCAGAGCTCAGAAAGATGGACGAGGCTATCACCCTTTTTCAGAAGATGCTGTGATACACCAGCTCCAACCCACAGTGGTCTACCATGGGGATGGCAGCAATAAATATTTTGCCACAAAACAAAACAAAACAAAACAAAAAAGGGAGACTGGTAAGTACATTCATGGCCTTGTTTTCCTTTCGGTCATGGCAATTCACAGACCTCAGCTGCCACTCTTCTGTATCTCCACTCTGGTCACTAGGTAGAGCTGCAGTGTGTGCCTGCCCTTCAGGGAGAAATGTTCTTGCCTGTCCAGTTCTCAGGGCTGTGGGGAGAGTGTGCCCTATAACCTGATACCTCCATTGCTGCATCTCTGCTGGGGCCACTGTGAGCTCCGGGAAGGTGAAGAGAAGTGACTGTGCATCTGTGGTTTTGTTTTCTGTCTGGTAATGAATGGCTGCTGCTAGATCACAGCTGTCATACCTTTGTGTTCCATCTCTTTTTTTGAGATTAGCTACACTGTGTGCTGGCCACTCAGGCAGGAATGTTGATTTTATCTCCCTGTTCCTTAAGGCTGCAGAGTGTGCTCTCTGTACCCTGACACTTCCACTGCTTCTGAGTTTGTTGAGGCCATAGTGAGCTCTGGGCTACATCTGTGGCACCAGTTTCTGTCTGTCCTTCTTTCCTCTTCCCCTGTTCACTCAGATATACCCACCTTCAGATGTTTCAATTAGAGGATTTCTCAGATGTGTTTGTGTATTGAGAAAGGAATCCTTTGTTGAATTATAGCTGTCCAACTTGTAACTTCAAGGGGAGAGACCTGGAGGTCCCCTTATGCCACCATGCTGTTGACGTCATTCCTGTTTTCCTTTATATTTCAAGTCTACTTTTAAACACATCAAAAAGACTTTCTTTAAAGGGCGTAATTCTCATTATAGTTGGAAAGATGTATAAAAACTCATCAAAATATCCTCAAATTGTAACAAAACAGGTAAGTTTTAGATTAATGAAAAAATAAATGTTCTTATATAAAAAGAAAAATTACACTATCTACCAAGTATACTTCATATATAGGAATTTGAATTACACTGTGATAAATCAGGGGGAGCCAACTCGTAATGTATTTAAAGTGAGGTTGAACTAGGTGGTATATAACCTCGTGCAGCATGATTATTCCAAGAAAATTCAAATATAAGCTCCTGTCAGTAATTATTTGTTCATTATTTTGCCTCTTGTTAATTTTTTTTTCTTTTTTTAAAGACCAACATAGACGTTTGTCCTGAATGTGGTCACCTGAAACAGAAACATGTCCTTTGTGCCTATTGCTATGAGAAGGTGTGTAAGGAGACTGCAGAAATCAGAAGACAGATAGGGAAACAAGAAGGGGGCCCTTTTAAGGCTCCTACTGTAGAGACCATGGTGCTGTACACAGGAGAGACACCATCTGAACAAGATCAAGGCAAGAGGATCATTGAACGAGACCGGAAGCGACCCTCCTGGTTCACCCAGAATTGACACCAGAGGTGTTTAAGTAGGATAACTTAACATAAAACATTTCTCCTGAAGAAAAGGAAGATTCTTTGTTTTTAATGTTTTGTGCTTGTTTTAAAATCAATATAGCTCGAAACATTCTTTCTGAGCAATTTTAGTGTGGATAATTTAAAGAATATGTCAGGAGTAAAGTCTGAAAATGTTTGTTTATGCAGAGGCTCAGTGGATTTATATGTCTGTTTTTATTATAAGGTTTTAAGTAAATGTTAGGTTTTCAAGACAGAACAATAAAACAAATAATTTTAAATTCATATCAAGAGTTACGTGTTTGGCTGTGGTTTTGTTTGCCACTGTTTTTTCTTACATAAGACTACTTACAGAAATACATTTGTTTAAGTAATACCTAGAAATAGGTTATTATTTGAATTCTGGGTAATGTTTTTAAGTTGGTGGTTGTTGTAGTAAGAAAAGGTTCTGTCTTTTCTTTCGTTGTTTTAGCAAACTAAAATTACCTTTGGTGAAATTTATGTGGGACATATGTTAATTTACTTGGTTGGACAAATAATTCTTGACATTTTACATTAAATCAAAATGACATTCAGAATTCCTTAAATGGCTCATGAAATTTATAATTTATTGTTTTGGAAGAGAAACTTTTAAAAGAAGATGTGAGTAAATTCAGTAGTACACAGAAAATGCTAAGGATGTTGCCTTTGCATTTCCTAAATATCCTTTTAATTTATATCTTATCATTTTCTCTTTATAGCAATGGCCTTTTTAACTTAAAGCAGTTCATTTCATATTTCTTTCTTCTCCCATTCCTCTGTCTACCTTGAGCAGAAGGTTTGCTATTTTGTTTCCTGCCCCATTCAAAAATAAATAAAAGTGAGATAGCTTTTAAAACATAGAGATAAGAGTATTATGGTTAAATGGAAAAATCAGTGCGCAAAATAAGATAATACCTAGAATAATGCATGACAGAATACTTACTAGAATTAGACAGCAAATTGAACACTGAACTTATTTTCCTTAGAAAGAACCTGCATGGCTAAACAAGGTAAGACAAAATCCGGAAATGTACCACTATCTTGGTACCAAGACCTTGGGACATTTCTTCTGGGGGACTTCAGAAGGAGGATTTTGTGATGAGATTATCCATGTTATCCCTAGAAGTAAAGTTATCCCTCATGGTTTCATGAGGTACAGTATAGACTGAAAATATATTGAAATGCAATTCAATAAAGGCAAATCCTTAAAACTTCCAAAGTATTGGAATCCCAGTAAATAGCTTTTTCAAGGCTTGACTTGAGCTAAGCGTAGAATTGAGTTTCTAGAGCAATTGGCTATATGAATATTCTTATTAAGGCAACTCTTTGGATAATTATTTCTTAATCTCTGACAAGCCTTAGAAATTCTATATGTCACATTTAAAGTAGGTATTGGTTGAGTAGAATCAGTGATTCAAGAAAACTAAGGCTAAACAGGTACATACCTAATCTACTCCACTACATACCCAGCATCTCAGTGGACAAACTAAGTGTACTCCTAGGTTTCTCACCTTCATACTTTGATTATGAGAAGGCTCTGTGTGTGGGTAGATGGAAGAATATGTGGACAGGGTCACTTTTCATGGACAGATAAACATTATAAAATGGATCCCCAAATTAGCAAAAAACATGTTTAGTTCATAACAGAAAACCATGTCATAAAGGAGAGTGCCTACCACTTTTTTGAAGAGGTGGTTCTCCAAAGTTATATAATACATTTTATCACTTCATACCTTCCGGTTTTACTATCAAAAAAAAAAAAAAAAATCAGGAGTTTGAATTAAATCACCTAGGCAACTGCTTCTAACTCATCTAAACCAGGAAGAGGACCTGTTCCCAGATTAACAAAGTAATTTAATTTTTCTATGTTTTGTTTTTTTGCCATGCAATTCTTTAATCCATCTGGAATTAATTTCATTATGTGATATATGGACAGAATCTAACATGGTTTTCGCTCTCAAGTACAGCACTAATTTCTTTAATACTATTTAACATTCACATACATTTGCATTATACTTACATATGCTAGGATCTGCCTCAAGCTATACTTTCCCATTATCTGTCTTTCTGTTCATGGACGAGTATAATCCTTTTTTTTGTTTTTAAAGTTTATTGGTATAACAATCCTATTTTAATTATTGCAACATTATAATGCATTTTACTACATGGCAAAGGAAGTATCTTCTCATTACTCTTTTCTGTGTCAAAAAATTTAGCCCTATATTTATTTTTTTTAATGAACTTTAGAATCACTTGGTCCAGTTTCATATTCATTGAGATTTGGGTTGGGACAATGTTAACCTTAAAACTTAATTCATTTAGCATATTTACTCTTTTTACATACGTAGAAACATAGTAATTTTTCTATATTCATTCTAATCTTATTTCCTAGCTTTAATTTCCTTGGTTTTTCTCACATAGGCCCCTTACATCATTGCAAGGATCAACCCAATGCCCTTGACCCAAACTTCTGTCAGTGGAGAGGAAATTGTCCTCTTAGTGGTTTCTACTGTTGTAGCCACCAGCCCCCGATAGACACACAGACCACCAGAAATCAGTGAGTTATAGGAAACACACTCTTTATTCAGCCAGCTACGTCTGCCAGGGGTGCGCAGACCCCAAATTAAGCAGCCCTGAAGTGTAGAGGTACAGGGTTTTTAAGCCCTAAACCTCATTCTTCATCCTGTTTGAACACACAAGTCTATTTTTCTTTTTACTAACTGTCAACCCACAGGTTGGTTGTGCAAGCGGCGGATACAGAAGCAAAAAGCTTATTGTTAGAGTGTTATGTTCCCATGGGCGATAGCCAAACAGTAATTTTCCAGCCAGCACACTACCTCCATCAAACACATCCTATTTACTAAAGTAGCACTGGAAGCCAACAGATATCTGAGAAGTCTGCTTTATTTCCATACTTTTCAGGAATATGCCTAGAGAAACCTGGGTCTCTGAATTTGCCCCCACAGCAGCCCAATCTATGATTTGGCTTTCCCTGCTTTCCTGCCATTAGATTTAGACAAAGCAAATAATTCCATTTGATCCTGTTAGGCGCGAACGATTCTGAGACCCACAGATCAAATTGAGATTAATTATGAGCCTTTATTAGCCGGCCAGGCCAGCGACTGACTCTACCACTCAGGGGTAGAGGAGATCAGCCCCGATCTTCTAGAGGAGGCAGCCTCCTACTACATCCTTGAATAAGCAGATTACAAGAAGCAGAAGTTAGCCGTTAACATTTTGTACAAAGATAAATGTTGCGTTGTGCTTCTGGGGAACTCTCAGATCAAACGGCCTAGTAGACAGTTTTATCATCTGCACCTTGGAATGTTGTGCTTCTCCCTGGGAGCTGGCGCCTGGAGATATCACCTCCCTGAAACTGGAGAATTTTCACTTTTACAATCCAATGTATTGATTTAATATTGTGTGTTCTAAACGCTTAGTGGTTATTTTTGCTTATAAAATCTAGAATATGAAGGTCAGGGACATCTAAGTGTTATCATTTGAGTTACCATAGGATGTAGTTTATAGGTGGTAAAAACAAGCAATTGGAAAGATAAATTCTCAAAGCTTTTTAAAAAATTCTTTTCAGTCACCTTCCTCATTCAAAAACAACTAGTCTTTAGTCTCCAAAGCATTTTTCAATACAATGGATGGCACTTATTGAATACCTATTATACATCATATTTTGCATGTTATAATCTTCAAAATAACATTGTAGAGCAATATAAATAATCACAGTTGTTTATTCAGTGTGTAGTGCATGAGGTACAATGCTGTTTTACATAGATTGCTCATTAAATGTTTATATGGTATTATTGGTTTAATTGAAATTTCTTTCCATGATATTTCCTTGTGTCTTTTGGCCTTCATCTGATTCAGAGAGCCAGAGCATTTTATTTAGTTGCTCAAGGAAGAGAAGAGAGATTAAAAAGGAAAGCTATTAAAAATTCTGACTTTTAGGGAAAAAAGCAAAGTCATGGGAAAATGATTGGAGAAGGAACACATTTATTTAGTAAATAGGATTCCCTGCCCCAAGGCTTAGGTAAAAATGCTCCTGGCCAGAGGAGAGGTAGTGTTACCAGAGAGTGAGGTCCTCTCCCAGCAAGTTGTCCAGGTTCTTGATGTCTCAAAGAAAGAATTGAGCAAGACACTGAAATACAGTAGAAAAGTAAAGTTTCATTAGAAGGGAAAGTACACTTCCAGATATGGAAGCAGGCCTGAGCAAGAGAAGCATGGCTCAAAAGGCCTGGTAACAAAGACTTCAGGGTTTTTATCCCTTTTTGCTGTGGGTGGTGGTTGTGGCTTCCTTGATTGACTACTAAGATGGACAGGACTCTGTGATTCATCATTTTTTCTGCGCATGTTTGTTCCCGGAATTCAATCTGTTATAATGATATTAATGAACTTCTGGGCATATGCATCATATTATAATGATAGTATAATGAGACTCAGGTGAGTTGAAGGTTGTTGGGGTCTTCATTGCACAGGTGGAAATGACTAACTTAAACTGGTACCTAAATCTTTGCCTACTGGTTTCTCTGTGTGAGTTAAAAAATGCCTTCTGGCTTGCTTAATTGTGGGCGGATTAGGGCGGACTCCTAAGATAGGATAACCTCAGAGTCTTTGCTGGCAGACCTGGAACCCTCTAACTAACTTTCCTGCCTACCTCTTTTCTAAGAGCCATGAACCTTTATTATTAGTATGGATGTTGAGAGATGGGAGGTGTCTTCTATATCTGCTTGCTGCTAAGAAGGGTCGTAGTCCCTGCCTACAGGGGTTTCATGGAGCTTTTTCCCTTTCTGCCTCAGCCAGGGTGGGGTCTTGGGTTTCCTGCTTAAGTGCCACCTCAGTCCCTAGACAAGGAAAAGAAAATACTGTAATAACCCGCTGAAATGTGAAAGGATTAAAGAATAATTAAAACCTGAAACTGGACAAAGGAAGTCTATAACTTAGGTCTAGTTTCTGGAACCCCTAACCACATTCTGTTAATCATGAAACTTGTAACAATGAGCTCATAGGCTAACTGCCAATTTTAGCCTGTGTAACCCTGCTTGCTTGCGTGGCATGAAAAATAATCAATTGTATATAAGCTGAAAATTACTGTTTGGCCATCGCCCATGGGAACACTGGCTATTGCCCATGGGAACATAGGCAATCACCCATAGGAACATAACATTCTAACAACAAGCTTTCTGCTTCTGTACTTCCCACTTGCACACCTGACCAGTGGGTTGACAGGTAGTGAATAGGAGAAAGATGGACCTTTGTGTTTAAGACAGAATGAGGAATGGGATTTGGGGCTTAAAAACCTTGTATTTTGGCAATTCGGGGCTGCTCCTTTGCAAGGACAGCCGCCGGCTAATAAACTGTCTCCTGGTTAAGAGCACTCAAGTTGAGTCTGGTTATTCTGGACACAACAAATACAAACTCGTTATTTGAATAATACATCTATTAATTTCTATGATTGATTTGCCTATTAAGTGAGTAAAGAGAAACAAGGTTGGTTTATATATTTCTTAGAGTAAAAAGAAAGACCTTTGGTTTAAAGTACCCC